CACACACACGCATAGTTATATACAGGTAGCTGTTAGAGGAGGTTCGACTAAACTTTGGCCTTTAATATATGGCCTGTAGCGCGCATTACTGACAAACTCGTGGATTGTAAAATGTTTATAACATCGACACCTTGAAGATCAGTTAGGAGGCAAGGTATTTCTATCATATCTGCGCGGGTGGTTGGCGGGTGCTCTGATGTGGTTTGCTCCTTCTTTCCTATCAAGCAACTATCGTCCGTATCTCCCCTCCTTCTTTGTTATGTTTGTTAATCTCTTGTAACACCTCTAATCCTCGACACTCATATGACCTTGTTGTGTTGCAAGTGCCATAAAACTCTTACTAAAAACCAAAAAATATCATATCTGTCAGGATACCCGGGTTAAGTAGGATCCTTCCAGACAGACGGACATATAGGGCCTACTTTATAAACTTACTAGCTCGGCATTACCCTGATCAGACACAGGCAGAGACTCCCAGTGCGTTTGTTGCTGGTGGAGCTCTAGATTCAAACCATGATGTAGTTAACTCGCTGAAGATGCGAATAATGGTCATTTGAACGTTTGAACTTGAAGAAGTTTTGAAGCAGAACACTAACTGGCTCAATAGTGAGTGTGTTGGTGATTGTGGGAGGGCGGGGGTGTTGTGGTGGCCGAGGGGTGTTGTTGTGGAGGTGATGGTGGTGATGGTTTTGGTGGTGGTGGTTTTTGTGGTGATTGTGAAAGTTTTTGTTATCGTGGTGACGGTTCTCTGTTTTCTTTTTCTGAAATTTGAAAAGGCACGCAACAACAGGTACACTGTAAAATAGTCAGTTTTGAGTTGAGTTTCTGGTTTGTGTTTGCAGGTTCGAAATGCGCCACGACATTGCCTGTGATCTGTTTCTGGTCGGACAAATATGCCAGTTAAAGAGTTAATGTGGGTGCTGTTATGGGGGAATATTTGAGAGAGGTTCTGTCTCACAGCTTTCGAAGACTGTTGGGCATCTCCTGCTGAGATGTTACAAATGAGGAAGTGGGGGACAAAATCAAACACTATGAGGGTATTCTCACCACTGTGAAAAAAACGCAAATTGAGATGGTATGGGCACATAACAAGATTAACAGGATTTGCAAAGATGATCCTACAGGGTACTGCACAAGGAGGGAGAAGATAAGGCAGACAGAAAATTAGATGGGAATGCAACCTAGCGGAATGGACAGGTTTAAATTTGGGTGAAGCCCCCCGAAAGGCTGAAAATAGAGAAAGATGGAGAAAAGTAGTTGTCCGATCATCCTTGGCGCCCCAACGGTCATTTAAGACAAAGGGATAATCATGTGTCTCTTCACCGCTGGGAGGGCGATATTTTTGGAAGATGATGTCCGAACTGTCGTTGCGAAGCTTTTCGTTCACCAAACTACTGGTTGAGCCGAATATGCGTTGCGTGTGGTTGATAATGTGAGTGTGTGCGTGCGCGCGCGCACGTGTGTGTGTATGTGTGTGCGTGAGTGTGAGTGTATGTGTGTGTGTGTGGGGGGGGGAGGAGAGGAGTGTGCACACACACACACACATATATATATA